GAATATCAAAAAATTTTTCAAATTTTACATCATCTAAATTAGACGCAATATAAGAACTACAATTACAATAAATCGTTGAAAATTTTTCCATAAATATGTTATGACTTTCTTCTAACTTCTGTAAAAATTCATTATTTCCAATTCTGGTAATTTTTAATTTAAATAATTGTTTTTTTAATACTACAATTTTATCAACATAACCACACATTTCAGAAAATGATAAAATTAAATTAGTTAATTTAAACAAAATATTATAATTTTCAACATCGGCTATAACAGAATCATTATTAATGTTATTTTTTAATAAAAAATCAAGATTAAACTTAAAATAAAAGAAAAAGCAAGAATCAAAAATAGTTTGAATTTCTTTTAAATTTTCTAATTTAAAATTCATTAGATTAGTCCAAAAATTAATAACTTCATTATCATTTTCAAAAACTAAATTACTATGTTTAGTTTTCATTATAAATTTTTCAATATTTAAAAATAAAATTTTAACTTCTTCAACTGATCTAATGAAGTCATTTTGAGAAAAATCAATTGCCTTTTTTGATTGTTTTATCAATTCGTTAAATTCTTCTACTGTAATAGTTTCATATTTATATAAATTTGTTATATATAAATCCAGATATTGAATACAGTTGTCTCGATTATTTTCATTAACTTTATAGTCTTCATTATCACTATCATGAAAGAAATGTGACTTTTCATTACTTTTAGATTCCTTACTATCATTGAAATTATTTACCTCTAATCTAGTATTATCTATATATTTTAAAATTAACAATGTTAAAATTGTTAAGTGTTGATTCATTGTTTTTGGGGTTTTTTAAAAAATTTTTAAAAAAATACAATGATTATTTATAAAATATTAATAAAATAATTAGTTTTAATAAATGTTTTAATGTTTAAGCGTTGTTGATTAAAAAACATTATAAATGCAAAAACCTTCAGTGGCAGTAGTAAATAATTTATTTAATTTATTTAAAAATTATCTTATAACTTCTAATCTATTTTCTTTGTAATCATCTATGTTATATACTCTTTCTTATATTTCACTCTCTATATATCATAAGAATTATGTTTTTTGAAATATTTTTAAGTAAAAATTAATTATTTCCTTCAAATTTATAAAGTTAACTAAATTATCACAAAACTTCTAATAAGATGCTTATATATTACGATAATTGCAAATAAATTTATTTATATTTGAATTATTTTGATTAAAAATTATTTTAAATAAGAAAAAATGATTGAAAGCGAAAAATAGGATAGAATTCACGGCATTCTTTTGATTGGCGCCCTTTTTATGATTATTACTCATACAAAAAACTAACTAGTTAAAATTGATTTGCGCCATATAAAGTTTTATTAAATAAAGATGTTTTATCAAATTCATTTAAAATTTTTGCATCCTTAATACGGTATAGTGAGTTATTAGAAGCTACTTTGAAAGATAATGTTTTTTTTGACTTTTCTACAGTCAATTGACGCTATGAAACTCGTAGCCGAAAGGTAGTATGGATTTTGTGAAAGCAAAAGACTCCGTGAGGATTAGAAAGAAATTTAACATTCACTTCATTCTCTAGTGCAAGTCGTGCTATAAAGAGTAGAGTCTTTTTGCGAATACCTTTTTTGTAATGGAGAAGGAAAAACACAACTTGTAACATCAGTTCAGAAGTTGGTAAAACTTATCTTTCTTTATTTTGAGGAGAGAACGATATCAGACATGATAACTAATATCCAAATTTAAGGAGCTAATACTGGAACCAACTGGACTAATTACATCCAATTGGAAACTCATGATTATATTATGAGTAAAAAATTAGGAGGACTAAAGAAAGTTGTATAAATAGATAAATCTCTTTTTAGAGGTCGTCGAAAGTACAACCAACGAAAACTTTTTTGATAATTTCATGAAGATTTCTGAAAGTAACAATCACACTAACAACTTTAGCAACAGAGTTGACGGACAATGGCTTTTTGGAATGTCAGAGCAAGGCTCAAGGAAAATTAAATTGTTTTTTGTAGAGAAACGAGACTTGGACACTATGTTACCATTGTAACTTCAACATATGGATATGCAAAGTGTCATTATCTCGAATGGGTGGAAAGCATACCATGGTCTAAACTCTTTTTTCTATTGCCACAGTGTGGTAAACCATAGTAAGAATTTTATAGATCCAACAACTTGTGTCACATCTAGTTAATTGAGTGTATGTGGAGTCATGCAAAGCTCAAAATAATGAAAAATAAAAAAGGGACAGCTATTATTTTCTGCAAAATCATTTATGTTTTTTTTCTTTTGTTACCAACACATGAGTTTAGAATTTTAAATATTTATGAAGTTATTAGAAAAAAATCATTAATAAATTTTAGTGACTTATTTTTTTATTTTATCAATAACACCTACTCCATAAGGTAGGTGTTATTGATAAAATAAACTGTTATAAATATTTTTTGTTATAATAATTTTTGGGCTTCAATCAAAACAGTGCCGAATTCCCTTAAAGTATTTTATTTCTTCTAATAACACTTATAAAATTACTGATATCAATTACCTTTTGTTATTTTATTGGTAATCAATTGATAATTTAATTTAATTTATCATTTTATTTTAATATTTATTTAAAAAATTGAATTGACTCATTAAAAACATGACAAATAATAAACTAATTAAATTTTTATTTATATAACTTACAACTACAGTCCTTGTTGATTTTTATAAACAGTTATTGTTTTTATAGCGTTTATCTATCTCTCACATCTTATTATTTACAATCTCATTTTAAAAAATTACTTCATATTTTATTAGAAGGATTATTTAAAAATAAAAAAATTACTTAGCTTCAAATTTACTCACTGAAAATCACAAAAAAGATATATTAATTACCTTGAATACTTTTGTTAATAAATTAATTTTATGAAAATCTTTATCTGTATGTTGTACCCTTTACAACTAATAAAAATAATATTATAAATTAATAAAATTATATGTAAAATACTCCTATGAATCTATAAAAGAAAAATAAATACAATATGGGACACATAAAAATATAAAAATAATAAGATTGTTTTAAAAATTTCTAGAAATATGCAGTGGTGGAAAATAAAAATGAGACTAACTTTAAGTTTTCTTTTAAAAGTTATTCTTATAAAATTTCATTTTAAATTGTCTTCTATTTATGTTATAATATCTATTTAAAAATGAATTTATATACAATAATAATTTTTAAACAATATATGTTGTAAAAAAATTTTAAGTGGAAAAAATAAATGAGACTTCTTTGAAAATTTTTCATTTTCCC